TAAGTACAAAGTAACTTCCTTAACTTCTTAATTCCAGAAACTTAAAGTAGATTATGCCCCCATATTATGTTCTAAAGTAGCATTATTTTAATCTTAACTTATGAGTTGGTAGTTGCCTTTGTTGGTATGTGCCAAACATAATACTCAAAATGCATGTTGATGGGCTAAATAATAGGATAATCTAGTTAGTGGAAATTGAGTGCTTGAAGTTATAACTTTATTATGAGCCAGGATAAAACGGTGTAAACTAGGATAAAGGTGCATGCACCTTTGCTGGTACTAATTGGGTTATTATTAATATGGGCATGCAAACCTAATTTATGAAGTTAAACAGCTCTTAAAGCCTAACTAAGACAAGACTTGGTGTATGATTGGGCAATCACTTGCTAGTATTTTACATACATTCCGGTTAATTATAGTCTCTCTATAGGATAAAGTTCAAGTACAACTAGGAATACCAAACACTTCACCATGCAATAAAGGGATATTTCAATTTCTTTATTAGGAATGACGAATTGGCCTTTGACAAAAGTAGAGCTGTCAAATAAATCGTGTTAAATCTTGTTCGTGTTGATAAACTATAAAACAAATTGAAATTCCCTCAAACTAAAACCAAAAATATTTTTTAAATGACTAGAATGCTCAACCTTAAACTGGTGTTTATCAGGTTAAAGTAGGCTATCGCAATTAAACAAATTATTTACCGCCATTTTTATCCCAATTAATCACATTCACTGATATAGTATTCTGAGTATTTATTCTTAAAAAAATAAAGTATTTTGTGTATTTACAATTTTATACTACCTCCGTTACAGGTTATGTACAACGATTTGACATAAAGCAGAGAGGGAAAATGTCTAATCGTTGTGCATAACCTATAACGGAGGTAGTATATAAATAAATGAATGGGCTAAAACAAGTTTTTGGGTTAAAATAGTCTCTCTAGTTTTGGGTGTGCAACAAAAAATGAATATTCTCAATCGGTTATGATGTATCCATATAACCATTAAGTTTTCTAAAATGATCGTAATTAATTTAGAAATTTATGTATGATCAGTGGCATTACTTATATATCTTTTTCCTCCAAATAAATGAGAATGTAATTGCTTTCCACAACTCTTAACCCTTTCTGATATTACTAAGTACGGTTTTACTAAGAGCAGAGTTTCAATTTTATTTCAAGTGTTGAGAAATCCAACATGCACATAATTCAAAATACCAAGATTATTCTATCCTCACCTTAATTTTACTTATTTTTCTTATATAAATGAGGCAAAAGGGTCACATAACCATCATAAAAATTCAAGCAACAGCCGCTAAAAAAAGGGAGAGTGAAGAAAGGCTCAACTATTAATAAATGAACGTTTAGTATGTTAAGGTAAGCGCGTCAAACTGTCAATAATTATAAAAGTTTGGAACAATATAACAATTAATATCAAAATGGAATTAATAAAAAAAAGTGTTTAACATGTAAAGGTAGTCGTGCCAAACTGTCAATAATTATGACAATTTGGGACAATGTAACAATTAAAATCGGAATGGATAGATATAGAGACGCATTAGCATAAGCTTCCCAGAAATTCAAACAAGATAGGACCCTAAGGTCTATAAAAATTGGTGAGCAATGCCTCAGGTTCTGCTTGGTTGGTGGGTACCCTTAATTTAAGGACCTTCAAGAGAGAATATATTAGCAGAAGGTGCCTTGCATGTTAAAATAGAGCTTTATAGTAGAGTAGTAAAAAGGGTTTAAAGAAGGAAAAAATTAAAGTGAAAGGGTTTATGAATTATGATGCCTGAAAAATTAGGCCTATCTTTATGCCTTGCACGCCGTGGGTCCATTTTGAAAATGGGACGGTGCTGCTGATGCATATTATGCTAATATTGGCTAGTACTATAGAGTTGTTTATCCCATTAAATATGAAAATATTTACTGGAAGGTGGATGATGAGAAATTTCACAATATGATGGTAGCCCAAATTTGAAACCTTAAAGTTAGTTCTCATAGAATACCTAATATTAGTATCTGCTCTCCTAGTTCTCACTACGAATTCTTACATACATTCAGGTGTACTTGATACTAGACACCCAGTTACTCACACGGCCACATCCAAAGGGTGTATTTAATAAATATGTTATTCAGTGAACGAGCACCTAAAATCTGAGTAAGGCTGTATCAAGATAAAAGGACACTCGGGTGTATAATAGTGAGCTGCAAATTGTGTATTCAGCAAAGCGTGTTTCACTTGTGGCATAGTCGCATAGTTTAATTCTTATCTTGTTTGGTTTAAGATTATGTGTCCCATATACATTACATTATCTATAGGCATTTATATATCGACAGCTTTTGACACCAAAAAGGAAAAAGCTGAAACATAACCCTCTTCAACTGAAATGAACTTCATAGAATGGCCTCCACTGAAGGATAGAAATTTATGCAAAACACTAGCACTGAATTTCAAGGATGAAGAAATACCTGGAGGTTAAGGAAAATGATTTCTCTTAGCTAGTTGCATGGTAGTGGTCCTTGCTGCAACCTTATCAGCTCTGTCTCTCGTAATTCTTTTTGCAGGTTTAAAGCTGTTATTTTAGAAGAGATTTGTTAGAGGCATCAAACATAGCAATCTAAGAATCTCGGGGGATAAAAATTAGAACTGCATAACCCTCATACACAGAGATAAATTGAACTATGCTCTTATCTTGGTTAACAGAAGACAAGTGCATTAAAAACAGCTTTAAGCTCAAACTTGTTATAATACTCAAAGAAGCAGCACATTAATTCCATGATTCCAAATAATTATCTGTTGGTTCTAGCTTAATTATCTCTCCTACATGTTTTGGTCATTTGTTTAATGTGAGATCTAACAGATACTAATTTAAACAAAAAAATCTTTAATTCTCGGGCGTACAGCCTAGTAGGAAGCCAGAAAAGCTACATCATGTGATTTCCTAATGAATACAACCATAGTCCAAAGATGATGTGGTAATTTTAGAATACACGAAGTAATATTAAGAAAAGTGGAGAAAACAACTCAAAAACCTGTGGATGTGTATCCCTAGTACGAATGATAATATTCAAACAAAGAGAAACTAAAACAGAAACAAAATGATGAAATGCAGGCAGAATCAACTACCAAGACCAAATTAGATAGACTAACAGCAGTATAAGGAAGAGAGAACAGAAAATCACTGCACATATACCTGATTTCCATCCCTATTTCTTAAGGCAAGCCTTAAATTATCTGCTAAAAGCGTTTAGAGACCAAAAATTGTCCCAAACTTCAGATTAGTAAAAACCACTCGTGGTTCCAATGCAGAAACCTCGATGGAGTCTTAATAAGAAATCAATACAAAAAGGAATGACTTAGTGAAACATCAACTCACTTGGACAAGAAAGAAGTGGCCTCCCGCTAATATTGAATGAATCCATACATGCATGCAGAAAGTGAGTTTGAGCTTATGTCTCTCTTCACATTCGCAGTATTTGCCTACTATGCAAGTGTACTGCATAGAAGAATATTAGTGAGTTACTAATCAGATCATGTAATAATTGTGCAACTAATGTCTCAAGATAAATAATGTAGGTAGAAAACATTTTCCTTTTCTTTCATTGTTTCCAAGCTTAAAAATTTTCATTTTTAGTTCAGTAGCTACTATTGATTTGAAATAGACAAGCACTATGTGGTGATCAATATACACTATGGTCAAAAAGAAAATATTCTGGACTTTGGAGAAGACCAGCTAGTTTCGCAACCTGGTCAACAATCTGCTTGTATCCTTTGTCAAAAAAAAAAAAAAAAAACAAAAAAAATAAAGAAAGGAAACTTTCAATTGTTTTCTTTTACCATGAAAAAGTCCAAAAGAATCACTTGAATTATAGAGGTAAGAAATTGATGAAATCATTATTGCTACTAACTCACTAAATAATGATAATTGCTATCCAATCCTTCTAACAAAACCTTCAATATTAATATTGGTTTATTTCTGGCCAAGAAAACACCATTACTAAGCATTTTAATTAAAAAGAAACAGAGGAATTACTTAATTTTTAAAATTCAATCTCATCTACTTGTATATTATTTGTGACTCTCTCAACGACAAATAAAATTATGTTACCGCTACCACTTATACTGTTAATCTATTATACATTTTAATTGAGCTCAATTATGCTTAAAAAACAATCTCATCCATTTGATGGATGTTAGATATTCGATCAAATATAGATTACAAATAAGAGATTAATAAATATTATGTACAAATTCTCTCCTCTCTCTTCTAGGGTTTTAGATTTCTTGGTCGTTTAGGTCCGAAATAGACTAATTTCTTCGGAAATTAGACTATTTTCTACCCTTTTTCTTTAATTCAATTTTGGGCTTGTTTGGCATCATTTTTGGTTTTCAGTTTCTTGTTTTTTTTTTTTAAAACCAAAAACAGGAAACAAGAAAAAGGTGTTTTCACTTTTCTGTTGTCAGTTTTCAAAATTATTATAATTTTAATATGTTTAAATAATTTTTGATTCATTATGGGACATATATCCTATACTTTTAAAAAAAAAAAAAAAACCAAAAAATAGAAAACCACAGCAATGCCAAACGAACCCTTAGTTTTTTGTTTTGTTTTGTTCTCTCCATTTGTGAGAATCTGTCCCAATTTTATGGGTTTTTTTTTTCCAAATTTCTGGAATTTTGATTCTGATCCATGGATGGAAATTTTATTTTTAGGGTTCTGATAATAATTGGGAAGGTGATTTGGATTCCTATGGGTCTGGGATTTGTCATCAACTAGTCGATCAAAGCATCAGCGCGGATTGCGGAGGTCTCAACTCGGAAAGATGTAAATACATCGAAAATCATTTCTCGCGTCAAGCTTGAAGCAGTGGAGTATGAGCTATGCCAAATTTGCAAATTAGTTATGATTCTGATTGTAAAAGTTATGATATTTTTTCAAAATATGTGGTTTACAAATCTTTATTATTTTTGTTGTATGGCTATTATTTAATAATGATTTTATTGCTTCCAATAAAAAAATATATATTATATACAAATTAATAAAGTAAATAAGTGGTATTATGTTACTACTGTACTTCCCAACCACCAAGGCTGTTATTAGAATTGAACACGGTACCTTCATATCTTGATTGAGTGTTAGATCATATGTAATGGAAACCAACACATTTATTATCAATAATGAAGTAGTAATCACCATATTAATTCATAATGTGAGAATCAAGGTTGGCGTAATTGGTTGGAGGAACGGAAGCCCTCCTTCAACCTTCTTAAGAGAGGATCGATGGCAAGTTGGATCCCCAATTTCCTCCCAACTTACAAGTTAAGGCTTGCTCGCTCCATACCAAAAAAAATGAAATAATTCATAACGTTTGGGGACTACCTTTAAGTTATTAGTGCTAGCTAGCAATTTTTTTTATTCTTTTTCAATCTTTTTTTTCTTTTTTTTGTTAGAAAGCCTCGGTTACTCAAAATGATAAACGTTTTTTGTTAACAGTTATCACATGTTGGACCTTTTCATCACTCAAAAGAAGGCACAGAAAGCAGAAGCTTATTAGCCCATCCATACAATTTTCAATGTGAATGGAATTATATTTTCAAATACTTGAACCTGTCAACAGGATGGACTTTGAAAAAATAGCAAGTTGAGAGAGACCGGCAATTAGGAAAGAAACTTCAAACTCTAGGAGTAAAAATCAATCCGTAAACAACACTTAGCAAGATTTATTGTTGGACTTATGAAGAGATGACATACCTTCTAAGCAGAGGAAAAATTTCCATACTTTCATTCCACCAGTATAGTAGTAGCCCCTGATAATTGCGTCGTTGTAAGAAAGCTTACGACATTTTTCAACGATGAAGAAAGCCTCTTCTCCAATCCTTAGCCCACAAATTTTTATCCCATTGGTGACTGCTATCATCTGGGTGAAAATGTCGATGGGAGACCCAAGAATCCAGACAGTCAAAATCATCTGTGGGAATCAAGTTCAGAAGAATTCACCTCCTTACATCAAAAATTTTGTGACAACGATGGGGAACCTCAGCAACCTAGTTCGGACCTCTGGATTTGGGGAATCAGTCTCAGGATCAGCTCCTTACACCAATTATGGCCTTGCACAATGCTACGGGGACCTTTCTTCTCTGGACTGTGTACTGTGCTATGCTCAAGCACGAACTGCCCTCCCCCAATGCTTCCCTTCTACTGGAGGTCGCATATACTTGGATGGTTGTTATGCAAGAAGTGAGAACTACAACTTCTATGACGAATATTTGGGGTCAACTGATACAGCTGTTTGTGGTAACAGAACAAGAGCTAAACCAGCATTTGTCGAGGCAGCTAGGAGGGCTGTGATGCAGGCAGTAGCAAATGCGCCAAAAAATAAAGGGTATGCAAGGGAAAAGGTATTGGTCACAGGAGATGGAAATGAGACGGCCTATGTTCTTGCCAATTGCTGGGAGAGCTTAAATATTAGCTCTTGTCAGTTATGCTTAAGGAGCGCATCTTCAAAGATATTGAGATGCTTACCATCGTCTGAAGGACGGGCTTTGAACACAGGGTGCTTCATAAGGTATTCAAATGTCAATTTTCTGAACAATGATTCCAAGAGTGGAATTTCAAAAGGTAATTCAAAGGTTTTTTCACCTTCTCATTCACAATATAATCCTTTCGTTTACTTCTATTGGTAGTCCCAAATTAATCTTCTGGTATCCTTTGAAAACAAAAAATATCTCAACATCACATCAACGTAATTCCTCTCATAATTCCAACACTATTTCTCACTAATTTCACTATGTATCGACCGTCAATTTTATTACATTCATGTAAACATTGTTCTCAACTTCCATACATAAAACAATCAGGAAGAATATTAAGAGACAGAGGCAGTACTTGTTTGGTTCTGGAATCATGCTTTAAGTAATCATACAGAGACAGTTTATCATGAAGATCATAAAAAAGAACTTACTGACGGATAGCAGTGCATCAGTTTTGAAATCCATTTGCATTTGAGTTCTTCAGGTACTATCAGAGTAATAGCAGTCAGTGTTACCAGCACCGTCATTCTTTTGGCGATTGGGATAGCTGCTGGAATTCATTTCAGGAAGCTCTGGAGAATAAAGAAGAAACGAAGAGGTATAACAATGAATTGACAAATGCAGCATTTATAGATAGATTGAAACTTTCCAATCTCCACTATTTTCATTGTTTTCATTTTTTTCTCCTTTCCAGATAGGATCAAATGATGCAGAGGAATTAGTGCAGATGCTACATGATAGCAGCTTGAACTTCAAGTACTCGACACTTGAGAAGGCCACAAACTCTTTTGCAGAAGCCAATAAACTAGGGCAAGGAGGATTTGGAACAGTATATAAGGTTACACCCTTTTCTCTTCACTGATTATTGCTGATGAAAACTGAATTTAATCCATAATAATTTAATAAGTTTAAGAGAACAGGATCTCAAGGCAACAAGAACACTCTTCCTGAATCGCCTGAAAGGAGCTGCCTCATTTTGCGTAGAAAATTAACACAGCTCTACTTTCACCAAATTTTTAATTTTATAGTGTGTCTTCAGGGAGTCTTGGCTGATGGAAGGGAAATTGCTGTCAAGAGACTCTTCCTGAACAATAAACATAGAGCAGCAGATTTCTATAATGAAGTTAACATAATCAGCGGCCTGCAGCACAATAATCTGGTTAGATTATTGGGCTGCAGTTGCTCGGGACCTGAAAGTCTCCTTGTCTACGAGTTTTTGCCCAACAAGAGTCTTGATCACTTCATCTTTGGTAAGTACTATGACCTCTGCTACTAAATAAACTGAAGCTCATCTTTCTCTATGATCCCAACATTGAAATTCTTGCATGTACATCATCAGATCCCTTGTTAGGTAGAACCCTAAACTGGAAGAAAAGATATGGTATAATGATTGGCACTGCTGAAGGTTTGGCATATCTTCACGAAAATGCAATTACAAGAATCATTCACAGGGACATAAAAGCAAGCAACATTCTGCTGGATGCAAAATTTCGAGCAAAAATTGCTGATTTTGGGTTGGCCAGGACTTTTCAAGATGATAAAAGCCACATTAGTACAGCCATTGCAGGCACACAGTATGTAATTCAAAACTTTATAATAGGTTAGCAATAATTCCGTGAATAAAAAGCAGCATATGCTATTTATATGGGGAATGTATTGTCACCTTTCCTAAAATAGTTCTAGTTTATGGTTTGATTTTCCAAATATAGACCACATAAATAAAGTGGGAGAGGGGGGGGGGGGGGTTATGGTTTGATTTTCCAAATATAGACCACATAAATAAAGTGGGAGAGGGGGGGGGGGGGAGATAACACTAGTAAAAATGGTGTTTTAAAAAAATCATGTTATGTCCTTAATTATAAGGGGTCGGGAATTTATCTTCTTTCATTTCCATGCCTAAAGCTCAATTTTCACAAAATTGCATATTGCATTACTATCTATCAGGGGATATATGGCCCCAGAGTATCTAGCTCACGGGCAACTAACAGAGAAGGCAGATGTTTACAGCTTCGGGGTGCTGCTGCTAGAGATAGTCACAGGAATGCAAAACAACAGGACAAAAAATGAAGACAACTCAGAAAGCATAATAGCAAGTGTGAGTTCCTATTTTTCTTTTTTGTCCTATCAAGTAGCAAAAAACCATTTTCCAGTGACCTAACTCTCCTAACACTCTAACAGACATGGAAGCATTTCCAAAAGTGCACTCTGGAAGGTATCCTAGATCCAAACTTAACACCACCAGAAGAAAATGAAGGCAACGTCAAGGAAGAAGCCATGAGAGTTTTGCACGTAGGACTCCTGTGCACCCAAGAGGTACCTTCACTCCGACCATCAATGTCGACAACAGTACAAATGCTGAAGATGAAGGAAAGGCACCTTCCTCCACCTTCCAGTCCACCTTTTATAGATGAAAGGACTATGGAACTCAATGATATGTGTGAAAATCCAAATTACCCTCTACGAGGAGAATCATCATCTTCTATCGCTACTCTGGCCTTTAGCTCCTTTCACGGTAGGTGATACTTCATACTTGTGAAAGTAAGGCACATTTTCTCAGAAAAGAAAACCCAAAAAAACCCAAGGCAATCGTAAAGCGTGTGTGAAGCAAGCTAGAGACTAAACAAAGGTAAAACAGGAAAAGATTACACATATTGTCATTAGAGCTAGTAAGCAGCATGCTCATTACTCCATAAATTCCAGTAGCAACAACTGGAATATGGAGACAGTTACAAAGTAAATTTATCCTACTAATGTAATCAATAAATGGAACACTGCATTGTTACCTCACATTCACAGCAGTAAATCAACTCAAATAATACGAAATTCATCAATCATCCGAATACAACAGTATTACTTCCTCCGTTACTTTTTAAATGCATCACTTTCTAAAAATAAAAGTTTCAATTAAGATGCATCAATTTCCTTTTTAATTAATAAATTCTCTCTATCTCTCCCATATTACATGAGCCCTCTTTATTTTTTCTCTCTATCTCTCTCTACTCCAAAAATTGCCTAGTAGTCCATATTTTAAAAGTGATGCATCTAAAAATAACGGAGGAAGTATAACCAATTTATTTACTCTATGGATGTTCAAAGGTTCTCTTCATCTACCCAAAAAAAAAAAAAAGTCCCTCTTCAATCCCCAAAACAAAAGATGCTAAATGCAAATACATGCTAGGTTGGAAAGAGATAACTGAGAGATCATATTCACAGTTAATCAGTTCCAGGTTCATGACAATTTGACAAGTAGCAAAGAAGTCATATGAACCAATAATTAGACTCATTACACTTACAAATTATCCAGTATGTAATTAAACAGATAAAAAGATGACAAGGTAAAACCAAAGCTAGTAATTCATACTACACTACTTGAATAATGCACATAACTGATGTATGTCCATTTCATCAAAATGCCATATCTATGATGTAATAGACAAGGACCCACTTATCGAGTTACCACCAGATTCCCCATTAGTCCGCCAGCAATCTCATAAAATTTGGCATCTGAAAACCCAGCCGCAAGAGCAAGCAGCTCCAATTCCTTTCCTACACCAAGAAAACTTTATGGACTGAATGAACTATCTGACGTCTTAAAACTTTTAGATAATAATTTAGTCAATCCTTATTTCTTCATTCTTAACAAACACAGAAAAAAGTAACAGAAGCATTACACAAAAACAAAAACCTTATACAACAACTTCAGAAAGATCTTAAGACTTGTAGAGAATGCCTACATGACAAAGCTATGGTGCATAAACTCAGGCTATTAGGCAAATGTAATGTGCTGACCTGTCAGATATTCCTGAATTGAGCTTTTCAGGTATCTGTACTCCTCAGCCAGACCATAGTTAGTAGCAACAGGAACAACAATGTTGTCAATCATCCATTCCTAGAAAACAAGCAAAGAAGAATTAGAAGAAAAATCGAACTTTATTCAACGTGAATTGTTATGTGTGCAATTGAAGCCATGAACTTCATATAATGCAACAAATATCATATATATTCATCATGGAAATTAAAATTTCATGCTTTTGTAGCTCATCTACTCCTATAAGCTAATGAAAAGGATTCCAGAGGAACCACAAGGCAGGTAATAAGTCTAATAACAGCAAAGCAGGGGCACAATTGCCTACTCCTATAACATTTGCTACATGCTATAGTCTTTCAAGTAATCACATACACTCTTCTTTACAAGAAACCAATTACGCTCAAATCAGTTGGAAGCAAAAATATCGCAGAACACGAAAGACAATAAAATTTAAAATATAGCTGATCGACACCACAAAAGCCAAACACAACAGAACTCGATTCTCGGCCTATAAAACAATAACCTGTACCTGGATCACACCAGTAATAGGCTCCGTGCTTTTATTGAAATCAAGGATTGAAGCCTTACACCCTGACAAATAAATTCACCATTTAGCTACTAAAAAAGTATGATATAATATCCATACATGATTAGGCAATTGAAGAAATCACAAAAACCTGGTTTAAGAACTCGAAAAATCTCTTCGACAGCTCTTTCTTTATCTGTTACGTTCCTCAATCCGTATCCCATAGTAATGGCATCAAAATTTGCGTCACTGAATGGTAAGTTAAGTGCATCACCTTCCAACCACCTGTGACGCATTTGATACAAAACTCAACTACCTCCTATAAAATTTTATTACAAGAGGAATCCTCGAACAAACACCACCAGCTATAAAATTACCAGTGCTCACTCTATGTTCCTGTAGCAGAGAGTGGACCTTTCTTGCTGCCGCGATGAAGCAATTAACAATTGGTTGCTTGAAAAATCCAAGCCAATCACCTGTAAGTACATCCCTATTGTGACCACTTAGGAATCAAGGTAGGTACACTTTCAATCACAAAGACAAAGATAGAAAACCTGTCCATCAAGGCCAACTTTTTCGGACAAAAGAAACGCCAAATCCCCACTTCCGCAACATATGTCCAACACACTATCCCCCCTCTTTGCTCTGTTGGCAATATTGCAAATACAGCAAACAATAGAAACATACGCTTTAAATTTTGGAAAATAATGTTATAACTTAAAAGTTTTAAATCCAATAGCACATAACATCAGTTTGATGATTTCCTTTACATAATGTACTCATTTTTCACAAATTCACTTACAACAAAAAGAAATGGCATAACATCCCCCACCCCTCCTCCTTTGTACAATAAAAATTACACTTATCTATTTCTTTCATATTAGATTAACCTATTTCTAAGCGCATTTTAGCACTTTAAACGGAGGGAGTACATCATAAAAGAAAAAACGTTACGAAGTATTTGTTAAGACAATTTGGAACACTATCATTTGGTGTGTTTCTAATTTGATGCATTCAAGGTAACATAACACCAACTGCTTAGCAGGCTAATATCATTCTGCTAAACAAACAATTTATTAATTCCAACATATTTTTCAAGGTTTCAACTAAAAAAAAAACAGATAATTAGCTTAATTTATAAAACTGAGGTTAATAGCTTATATAACAAATTAATGGAGACAATTACCTACCTCTAAATCTAGTAATATTCAGATTATTCACCTCTCAATAATATAAATATTCAAGTAATTAGCATATGTTCAACGATAATATCATCATAATAATGAAATTGTAGAAATTTGGGCACATAATTAAACTTCAAATAATGAAAAACAAATTAAAATAAAAAAAATTACCCGCTCCAAGACACGGCCATGCGCTTCCAAACACGATGCTGCCCCAAGCTCAACAAATCATTCAACTGTAATTTTATAATTATTTATTAAGAAAAAAAATTCAGATTTAATCAATTAAAATTACTTTGGTATATGAATTATCAAAAGTAGAAAATAAAAAAGAAAATTCAGATTTAATCAATTAAAATTACTTTGGTATATGAATTATCAAAAGTAGAAAATAAAAAAGATTAATTAAAGTGAAATATGAATGAATCAAAGAAAAAAGAGAAAATGCGTACGTTATCGTAAACAGGAGCAATGCGGCTAAAAAGCGCCTGGCGTTGATCGGAGCATCGAAGCTTCAATTCCCGGTGCCGGAAAAGAGAATTTTCCGGCGAAAGGAGTGATGAACGGCAGTGTAAGAGTGGTGTCAGTTGTAGTGTTGGCATTTTGGGTTATCCTCTTTTCCACTCTCTCTCTCTCTTTCTTCCAAAACAAAAGATAAAGTTCCGAATTTTTATTATTGGGCTTCATTTGGGCCGTTCTAGCATTAAGTTGGGTTTTTGTGAAAAAAAAATTTCCAATCTCAAGCTCAATCATCTAGCCAGTTTAATGATTGGGCCCAAGTAGGTCAGATACTCAAGCTATTGTTCACTTAGCAAAGTTTGCAATTTAACTGATCCATTAAGTTGTGTTAGTATATGCCCTTTGTAATACTGCTTTCCGTTTTTTAAAGTTGACACATTCTGTGTTCTATCTTTAGCATTATTAACACTCTTTTCTTTGATTGTAATTTGTGATTATGTATTGAAAAATATAACGTTACAATATACATTTTCAAAATATCAACTTTTTATAATTTTTATTTATCAGTAATTAAAGATATTAATAGTCGAATTTATGCATTGACAAACATAACTAAACAAATGTGTCAACTAAAAAGAAAAGAAAAAAAATACTTAATTTTTAAGATCAAATCTCATCTACTTGTATATTATTTGTGGCTCTCTCAATGACAAATAAACTTATGTTACCGCTACCACTTATGTTGTTAGTCTATTATACATTTTAATTGAGCTCGATTTATCTATCTATATCTATATCTATACTAAAATATTAAAAGGCGTTTATAAAAACGTCCATGTGCCACGTAGACTCTTCTATATTACACCATCTCACTTCACAACACAATTCATGTCGCCATGTCACATATTATTAAAAATATGAAGACTCGGAGATTCAAACCCCAAACTACTCATAACAAAATTGACTTTACAACCATCTAAGCCAATTGTCACACATATTATAAATATGAAAAAGAAATATACAAAAGTGTACGTATATAATTATTAAAAAAACACTCACCTTGATCATTTAATCCAAATTTATTTATAAATACATACAGGTATTATAATATAGAATAAACACAATAAAAATCCAAAATTAGTTTTTTTTTTTTTTGTTATTATTATTAGAATATACTCATAATATAGTTTCAAAAAAAATAAATAAAAATAAAATACCCATAATAAAAAAATTAACATGTTTTTTAAATTGTCTAAAATAAAAATGAAAATATTCAAAGTGTTACACGGGGCAAAGTCCGGGGTCACACACTAGTTTAAAAACTCAAACTGAGAAAGACACATGTTACACCTCCCTATCTTCTTTTTAACCCAATATGCCACATGTCACCTTACATTTTTATATTTTTATTACACTGTCGTTCTTAACTTTTTCATTAAACAACTAGCCTTTTGACCCGTTCAATGCACGGGTTGTTACTTAGGTTATTTTTTCTTGAAAAATGTCGTTGTTGTGTGAAATTTAGTTAGGTATATATACATAGATATTGTAGGGCATGAAATGATACATTGGTTTAAGTTATATTTAAGTTTAGGAGATGAAAAGACCATTTTATTGTTAATGTAATGAACACTAATTAGTTTAACTTTAATTTATTATATTGAATATGAAACACTTAATTTTCTTACTTAAATTTGTAAGTTTTAGAATGCATAAAGATTAAAGACTCAAACATTATTTATATATTTTGCTTTTATATTAAAATGGGAATTTAAAAAGAAAGGATTAAGGGAGGTGACATGTGGCATGTGAGTGATTATGCATGGTGACATGTGGCTTAGTATAGATTTATGGTTTGTGTTTTTAAATACTAAGTATAGATTCGTCTTCATCTCATTTCTTCAATTCAACCTTTTTCTTTTCTCGCTTTAATTTTAGTCCCTCTAACTTCAATTCTTTTTCTCAAGCCTCGTATTAAATTAAAGTCCCAAGAAGGCTAATTATGCTTAAAAAACAATCTCATCCATTTGATGGATGTTAGATATTCGATCAAATATAGATAACAAATAAGAGATTAATAAATATTATGTACAAATTAATAAAGTAAATAAGATTGGGTATTCTGTCTTCGGTATTATGTTACTACTCTACAAGGCTGCTATTAGAATTGAACACGGTACCTTCATATCTTGATTGAGTGTTAGATCACATGAAATGGAAACCAACACATTTATTGTCAATAATGAAGTAGTAATCATCATAATAATTATAATGTGATAATCAAGATTGGCATAGTTGGTTGGAGGAACGAAAGCCCTCCTTCCACAGTTCCACCCCCATAAGAGGGGATCGATGGCAACTGGAATCCCCAATTTCCTCCCTATTTAGTATTTACAAGCTAAGGGAATGCTAGCTCCTTACCAAAAAAACTGAAATAATTCATAACTTTTAGAGACTACCCTTAAGTTATTAGTGCTAGGTAGGAATGGCAACGGATCGGATTCGGGTTGGATGGAGCTCCACCCGCATCCACCCCCGCATCCACCCGAATTAACCATCCGCTTCACCCAATCCACCCGTCACCCGCATCCGATCCATCCGTCATCCACGGATGAAACGGGTGGATCGGGATGCTTAGCGGGTGATAATTATAATCCTACTCTAACTATAAAATCTAACACGTTATTATATATAAAATTTAAAAAAAAAACTCTTAGCCAATTTTAAACTTTAAAAGTAAACCATTAATTAAATTTTTATTCCAAACTATAGCAATAATAATAATAATAAAATAATAATAATCATGAACTTACTTTTTTTTTAACAAAATCATGAACTCATATCAGTACTACATAATTGGGAATTGAGGGAGGTTTTGATATTTTTAAAAATAAAATTAAAGAATTTTTAGAAATATTTTTTTTTTTTAGAAATATATCGTACATACATAGTGTAGTATACTAGTATATAAGAAAACTGGAAATATATATATACAGACAGATGGACTGCGGATCGGGTGATAAACGGATGACGGATCGGGTGACGGATGAAACGAAGCCCCACCCGAATCCGACCCGATCCGTCACCCGCCCTTCATCCATTTAATGCGGATTTTTCGTCCATTTATTTATTTCAGGTGGATCGGATTTGCGGATATCCATTTGGAATTGTCATCCCTAACTGCTAGGCAACTGCTTTAATGATGTAATTAGTTAGTTTATGACAATTTAATTAGATAGTACACTGTAACATTATAATAATGATTTGGCTATTACATCAACAAAAATAATGGTTAAAGAGAGTATCAACAAGTTTAAGCAAGTCTAATAAAGTCCAATTAAAAACAAGTCCAGCAAGGCGCAATCTAGTGTAATAATAAAGTTCCATAGGTTCAATTCATACGAGCACATAAGAAAATATAAAACATTCTACAATGAAGGAGGGCGATACTAACTTACAAAGTATAAATGAACGAGAGTGAATTATAGCTCAAATGGTTAGATCTTCCTTTCCGGCTCTAGGAAATTTTGGAATCGATTCTCAACCCTTCCTTGTGGCTCTCTTAACACCAAAAAAAAACAAAAAAAAATAAAAAATTATAAAAGACGTTTGGTATAAATATTGATAATAAATGACCATTTTCATTAACCCTAAAGAATTTGCAACATGTCAAGTCTCTTATTAGAAGATGGTGTCTCAACAACAAGAAGTTTTGGGGTATAGATTGGAAAAAAATTTCGACAGAACTTGCTAGTGAGGGAGAGTCAATCCAGTCAGTTTCCGATGCCTCTCTCTATATGACCAATATAGTTACCTCAAAAGACAATATCTCATTGCAGTTGCAATTCTGGAGACAACGCTGTAAGAAAAACTGGATAGTCAACGGCGACTGTCCTTCTAAACTCTTGTTCTCTAAGGTCAAAAGTCGGCAAAAGAAGAATGAGATTAGTTCCTTACTTGACGACCAAGGGACTATTCAGTATGGTCAGTCGGATGTTCAGCAGGTAGTGGTACATTCCCTCAAAGACACTTTCTGTTATGACAGCATGCCTCCTTATGATCCGGAAATAGACATTGTACTGCGTGAATTGGATCTTCCTCGATTCAATTCTTCTCAACTAGCAAATCTGGAGCGTCCTTTCTCAGCTTTTGAGATTCGAACAACAATGTTTTATTTAGGGAGTAGTAAATCTCCAGGTCCGAATGGTACTACAGTGGAGTTCTTCAAATCTCACTGGGATGTTGTGGGTGACTCGGTTGTTTCGGGCATTCAGAGTTTCTTCCGCACTGGGTTTCTTCTTAAAGAATGGAATCAGTCCCTTCTTGTTATGATACCTAAGATTGGTACTCCAACGGAGATGGGGCATTTACGTCCGATCAGCCTTTGTAACACAGTGTACAAATGCGCCTCCAAATGTTTGGTGGCCAGGTTACGCTAGTATCTCCCTCTTCTCATCTCAGATTCTCATCATGCCTTTGTTCAAGGTCACGTTATGACGGATAATATTTTGTTAAGTCATGAGCTAATGGAGAAAATCAATTGTTCTAAAACTGGCACTAACTGGCTTGCGTCGATCAAAATTGATATGAGCAAAGCTTATGATAAAATTCACTGGAGTTTTCTTCTGCAGGTCTTAAAGGCCTATGGGTTTCTGGACCATTGGTTACAGATGATCCAACAATGCCTAGCCACGGTTTCTTACAAATCCTTGATCAATGGTTCTACTTCAGACACCTTCAAACCACTTTGTGGTCTTCGTCAGGGTGATCCTATCTCCCCGTACCTTTTCCTATTCTGTATGGATATTTTCTCTCGTATGCTGCATTTGGGACAAGATCTGAAGCTTTTTCAAGGAATCAAGTTGTCTAGAATGAGTCCTACTGTTTCGCATTTATTCTTCGCGGATGATGCGCTTATTTTTTTTCGGGCTTCGTCTGCGGCCTGCACTAATATCATGCATATCATTCAGCGGTTTACCAAGATCTCAGGCGAACAATTAAATTTGGCCAAGTCTTTGATCAAGTTTAGCCCGAATATCTGTACCTCTTCTCGGGAAGGTTTCAAAGCTATATTCCAAATGAAGCATGTTCAGGTTTTCAATCATCATTTGGGGGCTCCAATTGATTTCGTCGGTAAGAAGAAAGATCACTTCCAATTTATCATCGACAAAATTATTGGCCGAATTAATTGTTTAAATGTGATCCGTCTCTCACAATCGCAAAAGTTAATTTTTATTAACTCTATCCTTATAGCTATGGCCTCCCATGTTCTTGCGTGTTATGAGTTACCAGTCTCTGTGACTGGGAAAATCGACTCCTTACTGTTGCGCTTCTTCTGGGCGCACTCTGAAACTAAAGGTATGCATTGGGTAAACAAGGATACCATGCACCTTCATCGTGGCCTAGGTGGTTTGGGCATT